TATTGTATCCATCAAGATTCTTTTTTTAAAAAAAATTTTAATTGAATCACCGTGAGATACAGTTACAAAGCTTTCATGATTGAGTTTTAGTCATACAGTGATTGAACGCCCATCCCTCCACCAGTGCGCATTTTCCACCACCAATATTTTCAGTATCCCTCCCACCACCCCCACCCTACCCACCCCTGCCTCTGTGGAAGCTCCTTACTTCTTACTCTCTTTACTTTTAGGCATTATGGTAAGCAATACATATACTGAGAGGCCATCATATTTGGTCCTTAGTCTACTTTCAGCACACATCTCCTACCCTGAGCGAACCCTCCAATCATCATTGACTTAGTGGTCTCTTCTCCATCCCAGCTGCCTTTACCACAGCACATGAGGCAGGCTTCCAAACCGTGAAGTCATCCTCCTGGCCCTTGTCTCTACTGTCGTAAGGTCTCATATTATGCTATTTTATATTCCACAACTTCGTGCAGTCATTCTATGTCTGTCCCTCTCTTTCTGACTCGTTTCACTTATCATGATACTCTCCATGCCCATCCAGTTATAAGAAAATTTCATGACTTCATCTTTTCTAACAGCTGCATAGTATTCTATTGTATAGATGTACCATTGTTTCTTTAACCAGCCACCTGTTCTTGGGCACTTGGGTTGTTTACAGATTCTGGAAACAGTGCTTCAATAAACATTCAAGTTCAATGTCATTTCTACTGTGCTTTTTTGTATCCCCAGGATATATTCCCAGAAGTGGTATTTCTGGGTCATATGGGAGCTCAATTTCTAGTTTTTGAAGGAACGTCCATATTGTTTTCCAAAAAGGCTGGATCAGTCAGTGTTCCCACCAACAATGAATGAGGGTCCCTTTCTCTTCACATCCACACCAGAACTGACTGTGTCATCAAGATTCTTGATTATAGTAGAAACTGACTCCAGCAAACCAGAGCAGAAACAAATTTATGGTTAAGAGCATTAGGTATTTACACCATCTTTATAAAAGCTGGAAGATTTAAGCAGGAGTGAGAAAAGGGGTAGGGAGAAAATGAGAGAGAGAGGAGAGAGACAAGAGAGAGAGGAGAGGGAGAGGAGAAAGAAGAGAGAGAAGAGAGAGGAGAGAGAAGAGAGAGAGGAGGAGGAGGAGGAAGAGAGTAAAGGGAGGAGGGAGAGAGGAGAGAGAAGGGAGAGAGGAACGAGAGAAGGGAGAGAGGAGAGAGGGAGGAGAGAGATAGAAAAGAGGAGAGAGAAGAGAGAGAGGAGAGAGAGGAGAGGAGAGGAGAGAAAAGAGAGAGAGAGAGAGAGAGAGAGAGAGAGAGAGAGAGAGAGCTTGCTCTCAGGAATGCTTGTGCAAGCCTAGCCAGGATCAAACCAAGGTTAAGGTTGGGGAGACAGAAGCATTTGGTGCCAGGAACAAACTCAGGCAAAGTGAAGCGCTCCTCCCTTTTGAGCTTTCCCCAGATAGGTACACTTTGATTTTTACAACCGGCGGGGGGAGAGGGGATTTGCTCTCATTTTGGTGAAAGTGATTTTGTGAATCAGAGTACGTTCTAAATCACATAGTAGGGATTAAAGAACAGGAGAGTTACGTTACTTTCAGTAAGTCACTAAGAGCAGGCTCTTGAAATGTCTTTGTGCCAGTGCTTTATTTCAGAATCATTATGCTATGATAATAATCATACCATAATAAGCATACTATTATTCTTTCCCCCAACACTCTCCCCCAGTAGCGCCCCTCCCCAGCACCCCCATACACCTCAGACGGGTGTCCCAAGGTGAGTTTATAGCTTACAATGTACAGGACAGTTTACAGAACACATAGTGGGTCTGCTTTGTTGGTGGAGAAACCTTGGCCCTTTGTTTGCATTTTTTCCTATAAGCACAAGTTTTCAATGTGGGTAAAATGAGAATATTGGGCCTGGGGCAGGAATTTTGAATGCCCAGAGTCCAGGAAGTTCACTTTTCTAGGAAGGAGTCTCCCTGTGGGTGGAAGAGATTGGTGAGGGAGAGTGGGGTGCCTGGCATCAGTCTCAACCTAAGTAAGACGAGAGGGGTGCTACTCATACGGAGTTACAGTCCAGAACGTGCTGAGCCTGGAGTGTATCTGAGTGGCCACAGAAGGTTAAGATCCCTGCTGTCCATTCCACCTGCCCTCTTGTTTATATCACTTATTCCCACTGCTGCGAAATCAATACTTGTAGAAAGAGGTAGCTGAAGCTCTGTGAACTCCCTGGGGCCTCAGGCCAGAGCTAATCCCCTCGTGGCCACCTCCCAGCTCCCAGCATTGGTCTGGCACAAGAGTTGGGACCCAGTACATAATGTGTGGCATGTATTAATGACTCAGCCCGGCACGCTGCTGAGAGCACTGCTGGCTAGGAGGCCAAGAGAAAGATCTGGAGAAGACTTAGCCTCAGGAGAGTGCCACTGGGGAAAATGGCCACTGAATGGGTTGAAAAATATCCAAGAGCCTAAATCAGAGCCCTGAGAAACATCAGGGCATGGAGGAGGAGAAGCCAGCCAGGGAGGCATAGAAGGGAGAATCAGACAGGCTGCTGTGGCCGGCAGATGAGAGATGTGTCAGATGAATCTCTGTGGAGCACCTCTGCTCTGCCAGCTGCCCAGGAGCCCACTCACTCGGGTCTCTCGACAACTCAGACCTCACTGGCCCCCTCCCAAGGTCAGCTAGCAGGTGGGGGGGGGGCTATACTTCGAAAAAGGCTGTATTGATTGCATCGTCCTGTCCTTCCCTTTGTTGTTGTTATCAGCGTTGTTGCAGTTACTATGCCTGGCAGTGGTGCTCATTGGGGGCCCCTCATCAGACTGTGGTGCTTTCACACTCAGCCACTCGGTGATCACTGACCCCTTTTGCTGTGGTGCTTTGCCAAAAGCTGCTTATCCTTAAAGTGCACACATTATGGTTGTAGCACTGGCTGGTAGTGTATTGTCTTGGTAGTGTTCCCACAGCTGGCTGTGGAGTGATGGAAAATCATTGTAGAACTGGTAATCATGGACACCAGGACTGACAGGATCTCAGTTGCATGTGGGACTCCAGGGATTTGAACTCAGGACTATACACTTGCATTACCAGCCTGCTGAAAGCCAGGTGTTGTTCCCTCCACATGGCTTCTTGCTGGGCATGCTCCGGTCAGGCTTTCCTGCTGGCCCTTTCTGCTGTAGGCTGAGCTTCCTACTAGTACCCCTCCCCGCAAAAACCTGCTTCCTCCCAGTCTTCCTCTTTCTGCCACCCTCTCCAGTCTCTTCCAGAAGCCTCCTCTATATCTGAAATCCTTTGCTATCCTCACTGACGGCTCATTTCCCTTGGCCTTATCTCCCTGAATGTGAGCTGCAGGACAGCGGTGTGTATGTGGCTCACAAAAGTACCCACCGCCCATACAGTGAGGCTCAGAGTGGCCTTGCAGAAAGCATAAAGAGCCAGTATGGTCCTCCAGAGGTCGCCAGCTGCCAACCAACAGGCTCAGGAATGGAAGGAAAGTCGGACAAGAGGCCTTGGAAAGAGGAGTAGTTCAGGGCACTGCTTGAGAACAAGGAGATTAAGGACAAATGGGCTTCCCCCCATTTTGTGTGGTGCCTGATCAAACCCAGATCTTTGCTTTACCTCTGAGCCACATCCCTGGCCCAATGCATGGGTATCTTTAAGAAGCCCAATCACAGGGGGAATGCAGGGGGTGGGAACGCAGGGGGTGGGAGGTAAGGCTAGGAAAGACAGTAACTGTAAGTGCTTTGGAGGGTGACTGAAAATTTGGTTTTCTGCACTAGAACACCTGTAGACCACCTGTCTCTGAATAGATTTGTTTTTTGAAGGGTGGAGGTTGGGGGTTGGTGGGTGAAGGCTGTACCAGTCACCCTGCAGGGCTATTCCTGCTCTGGGCACTATATGTGGTGCTGGAGATCAAACCACAATCCAGCAAGCGCAAAGCAAGCCCACTTTCCCACTGCCTCCAGCCTCGTGTCCATCGGGGGGCCCACTGGGAGGTGCTCAAGGCTTTCTCCTGGCTCTGTGCTCAGCGATCACTCCTGCTGGGCTCGTGGGACCATACAGGGTGCCAGGGGTTGAACCTGGGTCCTCCGTAGGCCAGACAAGCACCCAACCTGCTGTACTATGGCTCGGACCCGACTCTGTCCGTCTTTTAAGTCTCTTTCACCATCAGTAAAAGAAGGTGAACACTCATAGCACCTTCCACTGGGGCTGTGATGGGAGTTAAATAAGCTAAAAACCACAAAGGGGGGGAAACTCTCAGCGCCAGCTAGTAGGAACGATTCAAAGTTAGAGGAAGAGCGTAAAATGTTACAAAGTAAAAAGATACGTTCCTGTATCGTTCTGAATCCTGGTCCAAGAGTTCGAGCCCGGGGCAGACTGGCCGTGTTATCCGGTGCCCAGCCCAGGCCCACACAAACATGTTCTGCCTTTGTCCTTTCCGATGACTCTTCCCGGAGCGAGCCTGGCGCCTGACGCACCCAATTCTCCACCGGTCTGCGGGGATGCTCACCGCGCGTCCCCCTAACGGCGGGGGCCCGTTTCGCGCAGGCCGAGCATCACCCAGGCCTGGAAAAATCTCAAGGCGGCGCGGCAGCCGCCGACCTTCCAGAGGAAAGAAAGAGGCGTCTGCGGGCTCGGCTTCGCCTCCAAAGCCGGCGGCGCGAACGTCGCGTGCAGGGAGAGCCGGGTCCTCCGGGGCCTCCCCGGTGAGTCATCGCGCCCAAGGGCGGCCAGAGGCCGAGACCCGGCGCGGAGCCCCCGGCTCCTTTAAGGAGGCGTGGCCTGGCCGCCGCATCCCCGGCGCCGATTGGCTGGCGGGACGCGGCGGGGGCGGGCCCCGGTTGCCGGGGCGCGTCTCCCGGCCCGAGGGGACTGCGGCGTCTGCGCGGAGCGGAGGGTGGTCGCCCGGGCCGCGGCTGCGCGACGCCGCCGGGGCTGCGGTGGGCGCCGTCGCCGAGCGTCCCCAGCGGAGGCGCCGCCGCCATTGCTGCCGGGCTCGGAGCGCATCCGCCGGCGCCATGGGCCAGTGCGGCATCACCTCCTCCAAGACGGTGCTGGTCTTCCTCAACCTCATCTTCTGGGTGAGCGGCCGGCGGGCGCCGGGACCCGCGGGGCCGGGCTAGGGCCGGGCCAGGCTCCCCGCGGCGGCCTGAGGGAACGGGGCGGGCGGCGAGGCCCCGCGGAGGCCCCGGGGCGGGCGCGGGCGGGCGGCGGGCGGGGGCGGCGGGGGCGGCGGGGGCGGCGGGGGCGGCGGGCCGGGCGCTCGGGCCGCCCGGAAACGGGGCCGCGTCGGCGCGGGCGGCCGCGGGCTCCTGCGCCCCGGGAACGGGCGGAGGCTGCGGCGCGGTGTGCGGGGCGGGGGCCCGGGGCTCGCGGCTGGGTGCGCGCGCGTTGTGAGTGTGAGACTCGCGGCTGTGTGTGTGTGTGAGACTTGCCGCTGTGTGTGTGTGAGTGTGAGACTTGCCGCTGTGTGTGCGTGTGTGTGTGTGAGAGTCTCGCGGCTGTGTGTGCGCGCGTGTGTGTGTGAGTGTGAGACTTGCCGCTGTGTGTGTGTGCGTGTGAGACTCGCGGCTTTGTGTGTGTGTGAGTGTGAGACTTGCCGCTGTGTGTGCGTGTGTGTGTGAGAGACTTGCCGCTGTGTGTGCGTGTGAGTGTGAGTGTGAGACTTGCCGCTGTGTGTGCGTGTGTGTGTGTGAGTCTCGCGGCTGTGTGTGCGCGCGTGTGTGTGTGAGTGTGAGACTCGCGGCTTTGTGTGTGTGTGTGTGAGAGACTTGCCGCTGTGTGTGCGTGTGTGAGTGTGAGTGTGAGACTTGCCGCTCTGTGTGCGTGTGAGTGTGACTCGCGACTCTGTGAGAGAGACTTTGTGTGTGTGACAGAGAGAATGTGTGTGTGACAGAGACTTTGTGTGTGTGTGTGTGTGTGTGTGTCCACGTGTGTCCACGTGTCCGTCCGTCGTCCGAACTCCCCAGCCTGGCTGGCCAGCGGCCCGGAACTCGGAAAGGTCGAGGCTCAGAGGCGCCACATCATCCTGCGACCCGAAACGGGCTCTTGGGGGCCTGGGGCGGGGAGTCCCGCGTTCGCGTCCCTGGCTGGGTGGCCGCGAGTGGCCGTGGACACGCCCCCAAATCGAAGGGCGTTGCTCCCGCCGGGCCGGACCTTGCACCCGGATAAGTCCCGGCCGTGCCGCCCCCCACCCTGCCCTCAAGTATTTTCCAAAGGAACGTGGAGGCAGCGGCCACACCGTCCTCTCCTCCCGCCGCGGCCGGTCATCTCTCCGTCTCGGTGACCGGCCCCTGTCCCTGACCCTTGCGGGACACTTACTGCATATTCCACCGCCCGCGCCTGGTCGGTCGGCCTCTCTCTCTGTCTCTGTCTGTCTCTGTCTCTCTCTCTCTCCCCCACCTCTCTCCCTCTCTCCCTACCCCAGTGTACAGAATCCCGCCTTCTGACGCCCCTCCTCCACCCCCACGCCCTCCAGCACCTGCTGGAGCCGGAAAGGGTGTTGTATATGGAAGAAGGCACTTGGGGACACACGCGTTGCCCCGAGTTCTCTTAGGGCGTTTGCCGTGTGGCAGGAAGCCTCCTGCCCGTAGTGTTCCAAGTAACTCACCTGATGTTGGGATTGCCATGGTTTCCTCTTTCCCAGTTCCAGCCTTGTGTCTTCATCCTGTGAGTCCCTTTAAGACGGGTGGAGGGTCCCTCCCTTCCCCCCTTCTCTCCCCCCCCATGAGAGAAGCACTCAAATTATAAAATGCTTGGGCCGAGTTGCAGCTCTGTGCCCTTGATCATACTTGTGACTTTTGCCGGCACAGCGATTTGGGTTTGAAGAGTAACAGACCAGCTGTCAGGTGAATTCTAGGCTGTGTGATGAAATATTGGAAAGAAAGACGGGGCCGTTTTTCTTGGATTCCATTTTTTATTCCCTCCAGATATAGCTAAGTTTATTGTTCGTGAATCTTTGGGAATTTGTCTTTATATGTACATTGCACTTCGTTTGTGCTTTTTACAACAGCTTCTTATTGTCAGACTGAATGCACACTGGATGAAAAAACACCCTTGACCTAGGTTAATAGGATAGTACAGTGGTTTTCAAACTCAGAGCAGGGTCCACAGGTGTAAAGTGGTTGGAAACCACTGGAGTAGTAAAAGTTTTGTGACGATAGGCAGTGGGAAATACAAAAAGAGGGCAGGTTAAGTGCAGCCTAACTAATGATTAGGAGTGTCTCAGACCATATGATTAGGGCTGAACGGTTGGGATCTGATGACACGGGAAACGATAGCTAACACTTGAATGCTTACCACCCTAGGACTGTGGTAAGCTCACTTTTACCCCTATCTGGTAGGGATTATTATTATTATTATTATTGTTATACTTATTTTAGAAAGGAGGTCTGGGGTTAGGTAGCACATCCATGGTATGACAGATTCTTAGTTCAAACCCTGATTGGTTTATACGCTAAATCTGGTGTTAGTGCAAAGAATGACTTAAGATTTGGAGGTTCATAGAGGAAATTCACTGGGCTGAGTACATGTTTTGCTGTTGGAGGCGGGGTTTTCAGCCCTTGAGCACTGCCAGGTCTGGCACCATCCCCTATGTCCTCATTAATCCCTCCTCTCCCAAGACTCCTCTCCCCCCTCCCCCTTCACTCCCCCACCTCCTACCACCCACCCTCACAAACACAAAATTAAAAAGTGGGAGCAACTGTTTGGGTAGCTTAGAGGTACTTTCTCTAAGGCATACTGATTTTAACATTGTTTAGAATCTGTACGCCATTTAAACCACAATGTATAGCTTGTCCTAAAAGATTAGATCTCTGGGGCTTAAGTTGGTAGGGCATTTGCCTTGCATACGGCCAACCAGGGTTCAGTCCCTGGCATTCCGTATGAATCCTCAGCACTGCTGGAGAAATTCCTGAGTGCAAGTCAGGAGTAGCCCCTTGAGTATTGCAGGGTGTGGCCCTGAAACAATAACAATAACAACAAGAACCCTGTTTACCCTGGTGTTTTGTAGTGCATTCTAATATATTTTTATATAGTGATTTCATCCTCTTTATGATGTCTCAGTGAACAAGTAGAAATAGAAATGAAAAGAGCAGAAATAGAAATGTTCCTTACATAAAACATAGCAAATGTTTATCCAGGTTTCCTTATGCAATTTTAATGAACACCAACTCAGTTTCACTGGCCTGCTCCTCACTGTCAGTGATATTGTCTGTTGATGCGTGTTAAAGTTTAATAGGCTTAGAAGATCTTTAAACTGCACCTTTTTGTATCTTGATACCCTATTTCACTTGGTAGTTGTTCAGTTAGTTGTGTGGTGAAATAGGTATGTACTAAACACCAGAAATACTAAGGCTTTATACCAAATGAGTTTAGGCCAAAATTATTAACCTTCACTTGGTCTAGATCATGTCTGCTTAAACCTTTTCCACTTAAGACCCCGTTTTACCTGAGAAACAACACAAGCAAGTGCTGCCAGCAACTCCCTGGATTCATTCCAAGGTTGATTTTAAAGTAATTTTTTGGAGGTTGCGCATTTACAATCCTCTTACTGTTGCCAATTTTTTTACTCTCCTTTTGATGTGACAGATATGATCCCATATGGGGTGATGAGACTACGGGTTAGATTATGTAGGAAAGCATAATTTAAGGGTGTAACTGTAGATGGGCCCAACTAAAATCTTGGAGGTTGTCTAAATAGAGCTTTAGTTTGATATTCCATAATATTAAACAAAAGGGTATAAAACTTAGACATCTCTCTTTTTTAAATCAGAATGGCAAGTGTATTTGTGGTAGACATCGATACTTTATAGGAGATGTTTAAGAATGTTTTGGTTTTGTTTGGGGTCACACCTGATGGTGCTCAGGGATTACTCCTGGCTCTGTACTCAGGGGTCACTTCTGGCACGGCTTGGTGGACCATATAGGATGCCAGGGAATGAACTGGGGTCAGTTATTTGAAAGGCAAATGCTTTAACCACTGTACTCTCTCTCCAACCCCTGGTTAGGAATGTTTGAAGTACGACTATCTTTTTCAAGACTAGTGGAACAGTCATTAGCCTCTTCTGTAAACTACCTTTGTACAGGTGTCATAGAGGATTCATAATTGGTAGGTCATTTGACCTGATCCAGCATGTATCTAAAATATATTTATATAAGTACTTTGAAATGTTTAGGATTTTCAGTCTAGTAAGTTAATTGAGTCATCAAATCCCATGTTATATTACTTTTAGTTTTCCTATACTATGAGAAAAATCAGACGATGAGTATTTATTTTGCTCTTTCATCATGTCTGAGACACTCTAGGGTCTGTAAGAAAAAGCCTTGTCCATGCTTATAGAATTCGTAATCTGACACTTTTATTTAGGCTGTTGTTTTTCATCACAAATACAGTGGAGTTTTTTTTGGAGGTGATAGTAACACTAAAACACCTGTGGAGTAGGAAGTACCACAAGAAAGTCAGATATCTTATAAATACTTTTAGAAACAACTTCAGAATGTTGCATCTTCATTAATCATTCACTCATGTGAAATACCCTGTACAGTAAATACAAATTGTAATTGAAAGTCATATAACATTTAAGAGATGGCATCTTAAAAAACAAATTTTCACATCATGCCTCCTTGTGTGAATATATAATTAAGGAAAATTGATTAGGTAGACAATATAACAAATACTTGAGCACCTACCTTGCTAATATTGATGAACTGTTGAAAAATATGGTGGAAAAATATATGTTCCTGTATATTTTATATCTGGCAGAGCAAGACAGACTAGTAAAAGTAAGGGAAAATAGGAGCAAGAGAGAGTAGAGGGATTTAGGGCATATGCCTTATAAGCAGTTGGTCCCTATTTAATCCTGGAGTATATTGCCAGAAAGGGGCCACCCTCTAGCACCTTCCAAAATAAATGAAAGCAAGAAAAATATTCAGACTGTGGTGTGTTATGCAAAGAATGAAAATGGAGAGATGATAAGAGTTGTTGAGTAGCTACTTCAGGTTAGCAAAGAACTCTTCCAAGGAGGTGAAATTTAATCTGAAATATACAGATGGAACCAATTTTGTATTGAGTTGGGGAAGA